CTAGTAGCGATGCCAGGAGCCCCTAGTAGCGTCCTTGCTCCTAGTAGCGATGCTAGGAGCCCCTAATGGCTTCTTGTTCCTAATAGCTTTTTGCTCCTAGTAGTAAGGCCAGGAGCCCCTAGTAGCGTCCTTGCTCCCAGTAGCATCTCCGCGTCTGACGGCTTTTGCGTGCAACGTGCCTACACCGCAAAGAGCTCAAAGTTTTCCTACGAACGCTCACTTGGGCGACCCAGCTACAGCAGGCAACTGCTAGCGCGTTTCAGTTACCGCCTTGTCAATCTTTGATAAAGCCAGTACAGCAAGTACCGGAGTTGCTTGACATCCTCGATCCGTCCAGCCTCAGCCTCAGTGTAAAATGCAGCCAAATTGGCAGTTGCGGAAACTTGTGCGCCAACGGCTTTGACACTTTGGTGGGACGACTTAACATCAAAAACTAAAGGCCCACCCACCGTGGCGCAGTTGGGCTGGAAAGCTTGCTGGTCTGGCAGAAACATTTGGGTTCTGCGGAAGTCCACGTGCTGCTGAATAGGTGGACTTGTCGCTGCAGGGTCAAGAGTTACCGAAGGAATGGGCCTGCGCACGGTGAGAAAGCTATTCAACAATTGAATTCGTCCCGCGCGTGACAGAGAGCAGTCCGTGCACATACCGTGTTGTGTTGGCGCAAACAATACAGCGACTACATGGCTGTGGTAGGCTGTGTGGGATAAGGGGGTGCCATGCTGAGCTTGCCATGGTACCAAGGAAATTGCGACCTTCCAATATCTCATGGATGGGAGAAACTTGTAGCCGACGCACTCAACCGCCTGAATTGTCCAAACAGCGTGCCGGACAGCTTCACAAAACCAAAGTTTTAAGCCATCATCATGACCCGGTCGCAAGGTGGCCGCTAGAGGCTGAGGCACCTGAGCCGTTCGCCTGCTACGGTACACATGTCTAGGAACTGCAGAGATGTAAATCCTGTAAGCCAAGGGATTCGACTAGGGGGGTTCCTAGATTGAGAAGCGCCAGGTCCGTGCTTTCTTTGAAGCTTGTGGATAATGCGGCTGTCCCAATACCCCTAGTCTTTCATTCATGCCAGCCACGGCTTAAAAGTCCCTCCTCCAGTTTGCAACATTATCTCCCTGCATCCAGTAACAAGAAGCTATTAGGGGCTCCTGGCCATACTACTAGGAGCAAGGACGCTACTAGGGGCTCCTGGTATCGCTACTAGGAGTACTACTATTCTTGATGACTTCAGGATACCAACTTGATGGACGAGAATGCCGCCAAAATGCGGCCCAGTTGGGCAGTTGATGGTACAGAGCCGAAAGATGCTACAGCCGGCGTGCCGTTGGAGAGAACGTTTGCTATAGCCTAAGATCTTTGTTTTTCTTGTGTTTGTCAGCAATGGAAAAACGGGAGACAAATGAATCCGCTTAGTTTATCTTCCCGAGTGCGATCAAGGATTTGACACTCACATTAACTGGAGACTTTGTGGATGAGCTGGCAAGAGGTTATTCTCAGCCTTGGTTCCAAGAGCTTCTGAAGCTGTGCAGCGAAGAGTGTGGAGAGGATCGAGAAAGGTTTATTTGCCGTTTGCAAGACATTGCCTTTGAGGCACTCCGAACCATTCAGTCTTGATTTGAACTAACTCGCAGACCGTTCCTGTGTGTACAGAGGTAGCACGAAATGTCGAAACATTCCACACATTTTGCGCGCGAATTGTCTCAAGTCATGAAATCTGTGGAGAGGTCCAACGACCCATTCTGGAGAATTGGGGCTTTGAAGGCAATGAACAAGGCTGCTTGGGGGTAAAGACTCTTGCTTTTGCTGTTTTGCATGCTTCGATATACTGGTATGTTTGGCTTTGCTCAATGGAAGGCCTTTTTGATATGACATCCATCTTGCGGGAGCACTCAAGAACAGCTCCAAACTGGTTGCAAGAGAAGATTGATCGCTGTCTTCTATTGTCACTTGACATCAAATTTCAGACTTTCTCATCGCGTCTAGATGCTCGGCACCCTGCTAATGAAGAGATTCAGCATCTACACGCGATCGTTGTGATGCTTTATTAAGTGAATCACGATTTTGTTGCAAAACTATCACCACTCGCAGCCACAGAAATACGCATGCCTGCAGACCTTTATTATGCTATATAGATGTACAGTCAACAGGTTGTTCATACAGGATTCAAATCGAGTCTGGTCTCTCGAACGCCAGGCTCTATGGCGGTCCAGACGGCATTCTCGGTCGGGAATTTGCTGCCATGGCACAGCGAGAAAAGTCCTTGCTGCAGCTACTTGAAAAGGTCATGTCAAAGCCTTTGGGGGTTGAAGATAGTTCAACTCACTTGATTGACACGGAATCTATTTCACGCCATTTCCTCAGGCGATGGTTTCGAGCGACGACATTTTGAGGGAGACTTCCTGGGCAGCATGGTGCTCTTGGCTCAACACTCCCATGTGCCATTTATGCCGTTCGGCCGTTGCTGACTGTCGACACTCATTGCAGGCTCGCGCTCCTGTGGCAGCTGGTGAGGTGGGATGGACTTGAACATATTTTGGGGAGAGAAAGCGAGAGAGAGAGAGAGAGAGAGAGAGAGAGGGAGGGAGGGAGGGAGGGAGAGAGAGAGGGCGCCTAATAGCGACGGACTCCAATCTAGAAACAATGGCCTCCAACCTAATAGCGATGGCCTCCACCTGATGGAGAGAGAGAGAGAGAGAGAGAGGAGGAGAGAGAGAGAGAGAGAGAGGGAGAGAGAGAGAGAGACCGACAGTTCAGTTGGACAAGGTTCTTGGACTAAGTCTCAATAGTTGGCCTCTGCATAAATATTCCAGGTCATTTCAGAAGCCATTGGACAGTTGGTACCAGTCTTAGTCTAGCTGTTGTAGGCTTATGAGTTTCAGGCGATGGCAAGTTCCTTCGAGTCATTCTGAAAGCCTGGCGGCCCATATGATTTGATCCCTCTCTGAATTCCATTATATGTTCAATTGGTCACAGCCAGCCGCTAGTGACCCGAACTGAAAGCTTGCCAAACTTGATGTGGACAGTGTTCTAAAGCGATTTGAGGTGGACAACTCCTTGGAGCCGTTTCCACCGATGGACATTTCTGATCCCGCATCTGCATATGTGGTAGGCAGGGAGAGGGGGACGAACACGGGAAGTACAAACCCTGAATTGTAGGTGTAGCAAGGCTTTTGGATGCATTTGGCAGGTCCCGTATCGGGGGATGTTCCTGGCCGTCTTTCCTTGTCTGAGGCGCTTGCACGCTTTAGCGATGTCTATTTGTTTGACTTTTGGGGGGGCAGCAGTTGAAGAAGCAGTTGCGGTGGAATCGGATGTACAATGATCCAACAAGAGAATCTTGTAATTTTGCCATTGAACATGCCCCGCACATTGCCATGTCCATCTCTTGCGATCCCTCTTTAGCTCTTGGACTCTTGGCTTATCTTGTCAGCTGATCCAATAACAAGAAGAGAAACAACATAGAATCTTCACTACAGGACCTGGCAGTACCACAGTTTGGTTTGTTCTCGAGTCTCAGCATTCCGGGAATCGACGTCGAAAGAGTTCCTTTGAGAGGCTCAAAGCCACGGTAGAGCTCCAGAGGAGAGAGGCGCTTGCGACTTTGTTCCTATGAAAGTGTCAGGCAGTGTCAACAAGGTAAGCCATTCTCCTCAGGGTCCTGCTGATTGGCCTGATGTTTAACTTGAATGTGGGATATCTCTTTTTGTCGTGACAAGGACGCTACTAGAGGCTCCCGGCATCGCTACTAGGAGCATGGACGCTCCTAGGGGCTCCCGGCTTCGCTACTGGGAGCAAGGACGCTACTAGTAGCGTCCTTTGCTCCTAGTTGTAAGGCCAGGAGCCCCTAGTAGCGTCCTTGTTCCTAGTAGCGATGCCCTTTGCTCCTAGTAGCAAGGACGCTACTAGGGGTTTGTGTCCTTTGAGGTTCAGAGACACTCTTTGATCCGTCCCCGTGGCGACCTGAGTCTCTGTAGTGTGCTTCGCCTTGCAGAGTGCACCAAGGGAGGGGTAGGAATTTCTAGTGGGGATCCCTAAAAATCCCCAGACCATGCATGCTTCACCATTCGACGGATGTTTCCAGGCAAGCACCTCAAAGCCCATCAGAGAGTTCCTCAGGCGGGGCAGTGGTGTTCCAAGTGATCCCCGGATGCTGCCATCCTGTAAGACAAGGTTTGTGATATATATATATACATACTCAATCAATGGGCAGTCATCCAGAATTCTCAACGGAGGTCGTACCCAACTGAAGCTTAATTGAAGTTTCCGCCAGGTCCTGTTTCTGGGCCCGGAGTTCTGGTGACTGGCCCAAGACCTAGTCAACCATTGCTTTGCTGATGCCTTCTGACTGACGCCAGACATATTTGAGGTCGCACAGCTGATGAGGTGGCGACATTCATGGCTAGAGCCGACCTCAGGGCCACTTTTGACCTCAATCAAACCGCACATCCCTACTGTACACATCACCACAGATCGCCGCGGAGTACAGCAAGCCAGCACCACAAATGGTCACAACTATAAGTCAACACTTGCCACGGAAGGTGGATCCCAGACCACCACACATTACTGCTAGTCACCACAGATTGCGGTCACCGCCAAGCACGACAAAGTTTGCACAGATATTTTTTCCACTTGGCGAAAGTTTAAAGCCAGTACACGCGGTACACAAGGAATTGCAAGTCTAGTGGCACCGTTTCATCATTTTTCTTCCTCAATCAATCACCTTACTGAAACTTGTTTCTTCCCTTCACAGCGAATTGAAATCCACAGTTAATCTACATCCCTTCCAAACAACTTGGACTATAAAGGTAGAAACACTGGAGGAACCTTCCAGTCAACAGCGTGGCGAGCGGCCAGTCGTCGGCCCTGCTGGCTGTCGCATCCCAAAGAAGACATAAACACACAAGACACTGCAGGCTCAGGGTTGCTTCTAGCCCATAGACGGTCGACCGTTCCCGGCAAGCTTCTTTGTGCAACTATAGATGTAATGTTCGTGTCGTTTGCATCTAAATCAGCCAAGCTTTGTTTCAGGCTTGCCAGATGGCCCAGGCACCTTTTTGAGTCAGTGAGAGCAGTGGACATTTTCGTGGACCTGCTGAATTTTTCCAGGCCTTGAAGAGGTGGCCAGAGAGTTGCAGGCGAGTTTTGGGATGAGTGGTCCGCTGTATTGCTCCAAAGGAGCTGTGGAGCTGCGACCTGCGCGTGGGCAGGTTTGAGGTGTCCTGTGTTTCTGACAGCAACCATCCCCCAACATGGAAATACGTGGCCATTCCGTAGTTCCTGCCTTCTGCTGCCGAGTTGATCTTTGGTTGCTTAACCTGGGGCACTATGGATGTGCTGGAGCCCTCAACAGAGTCTTTCTTTGAAGTTATCATGGAGATGCCGCAATGCACATTCCGGTGTGCGGTGCACACACGACGCTCTGAACAGGCACAGCTAGAGGAGGAGCAGGGAAAGCGTCAAGGCCGTATCTTGGCAGATCCGTGCAGTTTGCCATTCCTACAGGCAAACAGTACACCAAGATAGCAAAACCATCCACAACATAGCCATTCTAGCATGGTGCCGTGTGCTACGAAAAAGTTTGAATATATAACAGCCATTCGATCGAGAATGTGCATGACCGGTCATGAGCCACTGATCCCAACGGGTTGGTGACTTCCTACCCTGGAGCAACTATAGTTCGAAGTACTCTTTTCCGGGGAGTCGCTTCGGAACGCAGAAAATAGTTCGCTTCGGAACGCGGGAACGGTATCGCTTCGGAACGCGTGTCAGAGCTAGTAGGTTGGAGGCCATCGCTACGACTAGTCTGCACTGTCTGGTTGCTAACTGCAACCCACCCCACATACCCACCCCCCACTGAAGATGTTGACCTTGTCCAATCTGGCAACCCTTTCAGCACTTCAGAGTCGCACTGTCTGGTTGCTAACTGCAACCCACCCCACCCCATCCCCCCCACCCCACCCCATCCCCCCCACCCCACCCCATCCTTCATCCGTAAACCCTCCCCATCTGTGTCTGTGTGTGTGTTCTAAAGTGAACCAAAAAATCAGGTGCGTTGTGTTCCAAAGTGATCTCGCTTTTTGCTAACCCTTCCATGTTTTGGTGTGTTTTGTGTTCCAAAGTGACCCATGTTTTGTGTTCCAAAGCGAACTAAAACCCTGTGTTCCAAAGTGAACTAAAACTTGTGTTCTGAAGTGACCCCGCTTCCTTCTCATAGTGTACCCCACTGGAACTGGAAGTGGAACTGGAACTGGAACTCCCCCCCCCCGGATAAAAAATAATCATCCACGCTAAACTGACGTTGGCAATCACGTCCAGACTCCGACCCAGAGTTGGAACTGGAACTCCCCCCCCGGATAAAAAACATTCATCCACGCTAAACTGACGTTGGCAATCACGTCCAGACTCGGACCCAGAGTTGGAACTGGAAGTGGAACTGGAACTGTTCCACCCGCCCGGGGCACACTCTGTCCGGTCTAGACATTTGAATCGTTCTGTTGTACTATCTAATGCTTGACACACAAACACAATACATCCGATCACAAGTTCAAGTCAAGTCCAACTGTAGTTTTGCAGTTTGACCAGTTCCTTGAACCTTTGATCAGTGGCCCTCTGTGCATGTTCAAGTTTTTTGTTTGGGCCACAGGAAAGAATTCATGTCTTCGGACCAAGCCATTGCACTGTGACAACTGACAACCCACTTGATCGCCCCCTTAAATCCCAAGTTGAATGCTTAGACTTGCTATGGTGTGATAATTTGCTGTAAGATGTTATTCTGCTCCAGTTGCCCAGCATGCTTCTGGGTTTTTGAGAGAAAATGACTTTAAGGTACTGAAGCGCTGCGTGCGCTGAAAGGGGCTCTACTGGAGCTTCCGCGCGAGACGGCTGAGGAGACTCAGGGCGTGGAACGTCTGATTGCATCCAGTTCCCGCAAGCGCACGACCCATCGGCCCAATCTTCCAGCAATTTTCTGTGGGCTTGCTGACTTATGCCTTACACGCACGGGACACGTGTGTTGCAGAGTTTAGCAGGCTTGTCATCCCAGCAAGGT